CCTTTGGGTTACGAGTCCGACTCTCTAACCATTAGGCCACGACTTCCGACTACATGTATGCTTGTAACAGTGAAGCTCTGATTCGGGGATTTGAACTCTTGATATCTGGCAACCGCACTCATGAAAGCTCGCGTAGTAGAGGCGTGTAGAGAAGTCCGCAATAACATGTTGTCTCCTTATTCGGCGCGTTCTTTTGGGAAAGTATGCTTGAATTTAAAAAATTTCGATATTCACGTTATTTTCCAATTTTACATCGTCGTCAAAATTATCGCGATATTATCGCTAATATTCGACATATCGGCCAGCCCTAGTGATTAGCAGTAAATCTCAATCACGTACGTTCAGATGCGACCCTCAGGAGCGGCATTTACAACAAAGAGCCGTAGTTCACTGACAAGCTACGCAATATCGCGTTCATTGATGCAATAATTATATATTATATATTGATGCGTTCATTGCACTGCAGCCCTATTACCAACATTCTTCAAAATCTCATTGGAAGAAATTAAGAAATTGATACAAATTTGGAACAACCTGAAGGTGAATAAATCATGACAGAATTTTTATTTTGGGGTGAACTATCCCTTTAAAACAAAAACACAAAAAACTAATTTGTTACTTGAAATAAAATAAACATTAACAGAAATAAAAGAAAATATAAAAATCTAGAAAATCTATCTATCTACCTATATATATATATAAATAAATCTTGTTTTATTTCAGCTAGATGCCAAGAAGATATCTTTTCTCATTTTCTTTTAGTTTAACTTGATGTACTAAAGTAACAATAAATAAATAAAAAAAGCAGAAACAACAAATTACTAAAACTTGAACTAAAATGAAAATATAAACAGAAAACATTATGAAAACATTTAAAATATCAATAAAAACTAAAACAGTAATATCAATGATTCTAAAATAACACTGGTCTTACACACTTCTACCAGCCTCATTTTTACGTCATCCTGAACTTTGTCCTTGCTGACTTTCTATTTTCATAAAACACAATATATTAAGCCATCCGGGTCTCTCATACATACTATTTCTCAGCTTTAGGACGCACTGATCATCTGAGTACGGATAGTATGCGAACTACACTAGTTTGCGAAACGTCCCGCTAGATCACTTGTTAAAGTGTTAAACATTAAATCACACTACATCAATACAGATCAGGGTGATCTTAAAGTAAACTTTAACTAGTTATTTAATAAACTAGTTTTATAGATTTCGCTAACAAAATAACCACAGGCACAATGACAATAAACATGTTGCTAATGTTGCTAATTACAGCACAACAACATATATAACACTGACAATATTTACCAAGCAGAGCGACCGGTTTGCATGCTGACTTTCTTCGTAGGTCATCAAAAACTAGATTTTGGTGCGATTTCAAATGATTAAAAAAAAAAAAACTGTTACATTTGAGATACTAGAATTTGAGCAGAATCTAGTGCTGTTGCAAACACAACCGCCAACGTGAAGCACCGCCCACTCGCTGCTCGTTTTGCTCTTTGATTGGACAACAGCTTTCAGCTTGTGAACGTCTCCGACTCTTTTCCGCGAATCGGTTCTTTTGAACTGTTCATTTCAAAGAACATGCAGAGGCCGGTTGCGTAAATTGTTTAGACTCTTTACTAATCTAGCAACCCTGTTGTTAATTTTTAAAATTAATATTTCCGTAATGTATGACGTTAGAAGGTTCATTGTAGAATTTACAGAATGATATGACAGATAATTTATTTTTATGAAAAAAAATAACATAGGGATAATTATTTTGAAAACGAGTCAGACTCGAATCAAATCGAGAACTCTGTATCAATACCCAGCCCTAGGAAACAAAAGTAAATCTTGCCATTTTGTTGTACGCCTCAGCTATTATAGCCGCTAAAGTTTTGCATTAGAAAAAAAATGTTGCATGTGGTCTTTAAAAACAAAACAAAATAAATAAATAAACATATCAGCACACCTGAGAAAAGTCAATGGAAAGACCCACTGCAATAGAAAAACAATGTTGTAAAAGTGTACAGTACAGTATGTGTTTCAATACATCTGACGTCACAGATGTCCAATTATAAAACGAGCCGTTTTGCTTACACGAATGCTTCGTTGCAGGAGGTACAAAGACCTCCTATTGTGTCAAAAGATTATAGCACGTTTCTCATGTTTTGTTTTCTCATGAATTCTCAACCAGTCGCTTTCAACCATTATGACGTCATGGAATTTGGAATCCCTGGCTGCGCAGATTCACACAGATTTATGGGAAGCCAAACAACCCAAAAGTGGGACGAAACAGCGCGGTATAAGGGGCCATTCACATATCGCGTTTTTTGCGCGCTCAAGTTCGTTATTTCAAATGAAGACGCGCGGCAGGCGCGCTCATAATGGAAGCGACGAGGTCGCGACGCGCACGCGGTCCGACGCGCTAATTATTTCCAGGCGCTTCCGCGCCGCATCGAGATGAAAACATTTCAACTTTTCAGAATGCCGCAAGCGCACCGTGGGTCATGTGACAAGAACCAACCAATCAGCTTCATCCTTTCCCGTAACAACATTGAAAGCTCAGCCAAGATGAAGGAACAGCTGATCATAGATGTACAGGGATAGCCATTTTTAAATAAATTTAGTAGCAGAGCTACTGCAAGCGATTTTTAGTGCTGCAAATCCATTTATCCCTTGCGGAAACTTCCACGTCTTCATGGAGAGCGCATTTCATGGTTGCTTAGCAACGGCAGACGCCTCTGGAGCACAAGCGCCCGAACGCTTTGGGAAAAAAGCAGAAAGCGGTGCGTCTAGCGTTTTCCACGCGTTTTTAGGCGCAACAAGTGAACGGCCCCTTAAACTGCCAGAATTTTAAAAGACGTTATCTCCGTTTGCATTGAACTTTCAGCTTCGTAACTTTGCAGATATTGTTTATGCTCAAACAGCAACATTACACACTAACGTTAAAAAAGTTAAATCGCAATGAACCACTCCTTTAAAAATCTTTTGAAACA